GTTTCCAGCAAAGCGGTTGATACGGGCGTATCGGCGGCAACTAACATGGAGTATGACTAATGTTGTGGAAACAAAAGCGAAAGCACTGTAAGATAAACTAAGACAAAGATTTTTTTAATCCTCTTAGTTTCGTTGTTCTTCCTGGGGTTTATAGTTCCATGGTTAATAGTGAGTGGGTGATAAGTAACGTTAAGTGACTTATCATCCGCCTTGTTTGACTCCACCTTCTTTGCGTGTTAGATCATCACATAGTTCATAGAGAATGTCATATCCTGTCATGACTTTGATATTCAATAACAATGTGTTATTGATTTGTAGATTCCCTGCAATTCCCCCTCCCCTCCTTGAGTTTTATGTATTTATTATTGTAGGAGCGTGATGATAAACCACAGTACAACCAGTTATTTTTTTGGCCTTTACATATTTATCACATTATGTCATTAATAACGTCGTATACCTGTCAACTTTTCAAATAACCTTGCGATGGTACTATTACTGTACTTATCGATTTCTGAAATTAATATTTTAGGCCTATGGATTTGGAGTATTGTTATTAAAGACGATATAACAAAACAAGTTTATGTTCATTGGTCAACTAAATCATGGGTACCTCACCCAATCAAATTGTTGCTCTGTGTGTGCAATGTGTGACTTGAGGTCAATAATGGGTGATATAAATGAATGAGACACATTGGGCAAAAGCCACACTATAGTTTACTTTTCCTGTAATGGCTGAATTTGGATACATGTTAGTCACTCTACTCCACATTGTTTTAAGATTACTGCCATGATTGACAATCTACTACATATTGTCAGGATACCAGACAATCTTGCACTAGTCTATTCAGCCTCACTTTCTCAGACTCAGCATGTTTTGATCAGTGGCAGCGTTATACTGCTGTCTGTCATTATGAACCGATCAAGTTGAGTTTAATAACCTTTTCACCACCAGACTTTCTCGCCCAATTTTTTCTGCACTTTTTTTTTTGTATTCTTCAATATTTCTGGAAATGAAACCTAATTTTGGAGCCAAATAAACAAAATTTGAATTAATTTTCAGTTTTCACTCAAACAATTTGGCTATTTTTGTCCTAATCTTCCGAAGGAAATTACAGACTATAAAGAGGACTATTTTGTGAATTTATGATAAAAAGAGGGAACTGATAGTGAAAAGGTTAAGTTGACTCATTCATAATACACATGTAGTAAAGATGTTTAACTAAAACAACAATTAAACTGTATTTACCTGCAGTAGCTGCATAGTAATGGTTTCGGTCAAATATGTGATTTCAAAAATTGCCTCTTGTATACATCATCAAAAGTAATAAGACCAAACCACAACATATTGACTAAATTAACACGGGTGCTGAAACTTCAAGCTGATAAATTAGGTCTAAAGCTGACCCTATTGACACATAAACTGCTGAAAACCTCCATGGATAGACACTGATTACTGCTATCCATTATATAACAAAGCTCCTACAGGGGATGCGTTAGGTAGTGTAATGAATCATCCTTGTCCTGGTACTGTGATGTATTGATTCAGATTAAATAGGACGAAAATAAATAAGATAAATTGTTTATTATTTATTATCTACCCTTTTGTAAAATATTACTAGTAAACTGCTTTAATTTTTTCTTTTCTTGAGTTTTGTGAGTCAATACAAATTATGACATTTGGTAGCAGTGAAAATTTCTCTGGGGTCCTACGTCAGCGACTTTTACAAAATTTTGTCTAAAGAATGCCATAAAACTTCAAAATACAAACATTTCTAGCAGTGAAAATTACAGTTCACAGTATGTTCATTATCCAAGTTGTGCAGAGGAGATGAAGAAAATTGATGTAGTGGCATTGGTGTAGAATAAGGTTGTAGATTGATATAAAAAACAACTGTCATTTTGAATATTTAGCTCGTGGAATAATTTAAATTTTAACTAAGTTTTAAACACTGTACCAAAATGTAACCAAAATCAATATTAATATCTCATCTATAACTGTAAAATATTGCAGTTATGTAATTATTTAAAATGTTTCCATGGCCATACTAGTATGCACCCTATTCTACACCATGTAAATAACCCATATGACTGTTCTAGCAATGGTCTGTCATTCCTGCCCAATTACTGTAAAATAATTTAGTTTATCTGGATTTAATTTTCACTGAAAAGTCATTTTGGCTGTTTTGTATAGAGTTTATTTTCACTGATTTTTGATGAGTTGAATGTAAAATATAGGAAAAAAGATATATTCACTAGATTTTATTTTTGCTGAATCATTCCTTCAGCAGAAATAGTGAAAATAAATTTCATGTGCAGAAATCCTGCTCATTGGCCAATGCATGGCATGTTTTCTAATTTCGCTGTTGCATTGTTTTTTGCCACAGGTACTCATACCCAAGATGTCTACAGCCACACCATCTCCAATGGGATCCATTATTTTGAAATGGAATCCTAAGGATTTGGAAATCAGGACTTATTCTGTAGAAAAGACACTGGAACCACTAGTTACACAGGTTGGTATTTTATGCCTTGTTAGCTCTGCTATTTACAAGTCAATTGTTAAATGATTTGATACATGGCCATACAACATCACACAGAAGAATCAACTAAAAACTTATAAAGGAAGATTCTCAATATTTTTGATTCTCCTGCAATCACATGAATTTCAAACTTCCAGGTTTCATGAGATGCACCTTGTTTTGCTGCTAAAGAATTTCAAAATTGCAGGAAAGACAATTGAAGTGGAGATTATGTGTGTCATTCTGTGTACTGTGTTCATTCTATTAGAAGCTCATTTCTATCTAATATCAGTGTACACATAAAATTGCATTTATTGTATGCTAGCTCCTAACTTGTGACTTCTGTTTGACCATTCAAGCACATGTGCTACTAATAGAGCAAATGCTCTATTATATGTAGCCGCTGAAACGTGGTATGAATTGAGTTTTCAAAGTTTGTTAGTCCAATGCAAATGCCTTCTGTGTGTATGATTTTTTTTTCCCACGATGTAAAGCACAAGTGTAATGTTGCAAAGTGTCACTCAATTGTATTTGTAGTACTGAGAAATAAATCCTACACCCATGTTCTCCTGATGACTTCACTCAGAACGCATACAAGTAAAATACTGTTGTGGTTGAGTCGAACAGCGTGTAGTGTGTAATACAGACCTTTTATCTGACTATTAGCTTATTCTACCAGTTGGTTTTCCCACGATGACAATGTGAGTTATTATTCACAAGAAAGCGTGCAGTGCACATTAATTTCTCTGTAACTGACTAATGTATTGTGCAATACCTAGCCAGCCAACCACTGTGCATCAATGGTTACATAAATCCAACATAAGGGG